AATAATGAGTCATAGCGTCATAATCACCAACATAAGTTGCTTGTGCTGGACATCCAAGTAAAAAAATGAGTTGGAACACGAAAGGGAATCCTAAGCCCTTAATCTTAATCTGAAAGAATCTTAAATAATATTGAATTTATTCAGATATCTTGTTTTTCGCTGAGATATTGCATTTTAAAATATCTTAGTTTTTAAAAATCCTTCAAACCATATGAGCATGATCAAAATTTGACCAATATTCTGACCCAAAGTTCAAAATGTATTTTTCAGAAGGTGTTTTATCCAGTGAATTCGAATCTGAACTTCACATTGCCAAATTGGTTTCAGTTTTTCTCACATATCTTAGCCTAAAGTACAAAAAAGCGGTTTCTGGTTTGTATTATGTCTATGGTTTTTGGTCGTTTTTGAGGTTATGTAGCATCGTAATTTAATATTTCTTCCAGAAACTGTTATAACCATCTTAAAGTATAGGTCTCGATCTTCTAAATGAAGTTGGGTTTGCTAAGATGGCTTCTCAAACCATGTGATTATATACACCCACCGGCGCGAAAAACGGAGCACTTGCAGTTTTAAAATAAAAACTTAAAATTTTAATTCTCTTTAAACTTTCATTATTATAATAAATAAACAATTTAACTTTTGAACAAAGAACTGTTTCAATAGATAACAATTTAAAAATTAAGGAAAAAACATAAGTAATATTTGTTAGTATAATATAACATTATTATATAGGTACATTATATATTATATGGACATGTTAAAATTATGGCGAACGCGCCGGTGTACAACTAACATTTTACTATTCCAGTTTATTTAGTCTATTTCACAGTTTATTTCTCACTGCAGTTGTTACATAATAAGCTAATTGAAAAGGCACGATTACCTGATCTAAATATTTATTTTCGTGATTGAGCGGCGTGACTCTTCAACATAAGATATAATCTTATGATGAATGAGGTATTATTTTAATATTGTTCTATTACATAAACGTCTAAATACATTCATTGTTACATGTTAACATTACAGTGACCTCTGTATTAAGTAATGTCGGCTGGGAAGCGAAAATTCGTTAATCTGGTACGGTTAAAGAACAAAGAATTGGGTTAAAAACTTCGTAATTATAACGAGTATAATAATTGTTAAATGTAATAAGAATAAATGGTTTCTCAAGTAATCATAACTGAATGTGGGCCAAATTTGAATCATAAAAAATAAATCCATTAATAATTTAAAGATTCCCTCTTCTTAAAGTTAACGGATGATAAAGAGCATGATACATTATTTAGTTTGCGCTATTATAAATGTTTAGAATCAAGTCAGTTTAAACTATAATATCAGACATAAAAGTAAATGGGTATAAGTGACATAAGTGACATTTTTTTAATATTGAGAAACCTGCACAGCTGAACAGGAAATCTTTCACTCTATTTAGAGGAAAAGAGATTTAAGCGATCAGTCTAACAGATGCTGCTTTCTAGCGATAAGTTACGTAGTCTCCAAGTCAACTATGAGTATGGCTTGGAAGCGAAGAGATACAAGTGAACTTGCACTCCTGTTCCACTGTGTCAGACTGTTAGTTGAGTTTGATATCAATTTGGATGGGTAGTGGTATAGCTCCAAAGTAATACTTTTGTTTATTTGCGGAATACGAAGCCAGTAATACCTGCTAAAGCGTTTCCACCGCAAAAGCTGACTGGCAAGAAAAGGATTCGGAGGTCAGATAAGTGAAAAAAAAAACAGGGTAAAATAACAAGAACTTCTGGTGAAGCTTACATGGACAAAAAACATAATACTTATAAAGCTTAAAAGTTACGAGAACTTCAAAATCACCATTGTTTGAATAAATGTACCAATATTATTTCACAAGAACAAAGACTTTCAATTTTTTAAGAGCATTGAGCATTGGGCATTGGAATCTCTCAAACAGCTCTCCTAAATTGATCCATACAAACTAAGCCTATAAAAAGAAGAAAACCAAATGCAATTAGAAACAAAGAGGAGTCATGTGTTTTTAATCTGGAAAGTTGTAGAGTATGTAAACAGTTTATAATGAAAACTCTTGACGTCTCCAACAAACGTTTACGAAATGTAGTTGAAAGCAAAAAAAAGTCTCCTCAGGCGTGTCATGAATATACAAAAGATGAAAGAAATCATGTTAAAACGGACATGTTAAAAGAATGCCAGAGTATATATGGCCTAGAAGAGTACTGGAATGGATCCCTCCTGAAAGAAGAAAGAGAGGACGGCCACGGAGAAGTTGGCGAAACGATATTGATGAAGCAATGGCGGAAAGAGACTTAGAAGAGGGAACTGCATATGACAGAAAAAGATGGAAATTGGGGGCGGAGAAGCGACGACAGCCGTAATCAATCCGTTATTATATATATATATATATATATATATATATATATTATATATATATATATATATATATATAATACTATATATATATATATGGTATTATTGACTGACACGTTATGTAAACTAAAGTTTTATTTTGAGGATGCAGTCATTTAAGTAGGACAGGATAAGTAAAACTCTTTGTTCTTAAATCAAGCTTTCGCAAAATTTATTTGCTTCATCAGGATATGCTAAAATATGTTATGGTAAATACAATGAAATTAGTATTAAGAAAAACATTGTATAAAACTATATAAAAACTTACAACATGAGGTTAAACCATTAAATTATTAAATTCACAAAACATTATTAATTTTTCCTAAATTATATTTTTATGCAAGTACAATATTTTAATTTTGAATATATTATGACATTGATTAATAATGATGTTTGATACATGTCAGAAAGACATTATCAAATATATATTATATATATAATATATTATATATTATATATATATATATAAGTTTGATATATATGTCTTTCTGACATATATCAAACATCATTATTAATCAATGTCATAATATATTCAAAATTAAAATATTGTACTTGCATAAAAATATAATTTAGGAAAAATTAATAATGTTTTGTGAATTTAATAATTTAATGGTTTAACCTCATGTTGTAAGTTTGTATATAGTTTTATACAATGTTTTTCTTAATTCTAATTTCATTGTATTTACCATAACATATTTTAGCATATCCTGATGAAGCAAATAAATTTTGCGAAAGCTTGATTTAAGAACAAAGAGTTTTACTTATCCTGCCCTACTTAAATGACTGCATCCTCAAAATAAAACTTTAGTTTATATATATATATATATATATATATATATATATATATATATATATATATATATATATCATCATCATCATCATCATCATGTGCAGCTTTATCGACCGTTTCCAATTACGGTGCAGCCTCCCTTATTTCAATGTTATTCTATGTTCTTATTAGTATTCGACGATGTCTTAGTTATGCGTTGTTCTTGTAATTTGCGCTCATTTGCGTTCATATTTTTCTATCTTGTGCTATTCGAGACCACGTTGTTCCTGTTAATTTTCTTATATCATATATATATATATATATATATATATATATATATATATATATATATATTATATATATATATATATGAAAGAAATCACCCCCAAATAAAATTTCTGAAAGGGTAATTGAAATCATAAAAGAGCATATTAATTGATTATTATTATTAAGTTTCCTAGGTACACAATCTTCCTCAATAGTGTAATTTAAAAATAATGTATAATCCGACAAGTGAGAGCTGGCGGGTGAAATATAAATAATAATTTATAATATAGGGCCACTCCAAATAAAAACGTAAATACTTGACAACACTGTCAGAAAGTAGCACTAATTACAACATGTGAACTCTTAGCCGACTGCAATAGAAAGGAGCAATCCCTTCCTTTTTTCAATTTGTTCTACGCGCAACCCGCCAGCTCTCGCTTGTCGGGTTATACAAACTTTATTGTGATTTCTGTAAGGCCAAGTACAGACATCTGATAAATTTACCAAATTTCAAATAAAAATAAATCATGGTTCGGCACAAGAAAACGCTTTAGCTCAGACAGAAAAAGGGAGATAAATAACAGAGAAAAATAAGAACCAAAAAGAACCTTTATGTACCTCAACATTGGATGGATAACTTCCTCAAGTAGAAAGTTCCTTACAAGATAGACTTTCAGAGTTTACTCCATACTTACAGAAGAACGTAAGTGGAATACAGTGCATGCAATGGTTACATTTTCAACAGGACAACCCTTTAACCCTCTTTTATAATAAAACAGCTGGAGATATCATAGAAGAGTTTAGAGAGCTATCTATGAAACCCATTCGAGCTGGCAAAAACACTGCCCTTCTGCCAGATATTTTGCCAGTACCGATTGACAAAACGCCTCTCATTAAGTAAGCTAAATATTCAAATCTTCAACAGTGACTTAACTAGGTACCTAAAATTTACCATGAGTTTTTGATAAATCTGTGACATAATGGTCAACAATGACACCGATGTCGATGAATTATAAGTCTTAGTGTTATGGTTGAATTACCGCGTTTGAAATGAGGACATTTAGAAGATTGCTAAGGATTCCATGGCTAGATAGAGTCACGAATACAGAAGTGTTAGGAGAATAGGCAGAGGGAGGGAAATGGAAAATACAATAAAAGAAGGAAATTACAATATCTCGGACATGTGATGAGAGGTGAAAGATACAACATCTTGAGACTCATAATTCAAGGAAAAATAGAGGGTAGGAGAGGTAGGTAATTGTTCAGAGCAACCTGATTTGATCTACAACTTTATTATAAATAAAATATTAGGTCTACACGAATTCTGAAATCACCACATTGAAGAAAAAGGCTTATTTTACCAAACTAAATCATTTAACAATTAAAAAGTTTATATTAAATATTCTAAAAGAGGTTTAAAAAAGCACTGTAATTTTAAGGTTATAAACATTTATTACAAGTTAATTAGGAAGTTTCCGGTTCTAATCAACGAAAATAAGATAGATGCTGAGCAAAAAATAGTTAATTTTTAAGAAAGGCTAAGGATTATAATACAGTTATCAAAAACTTATCTAACCTTTCTATGTTCCTCCCAAATTGGTTCCTCGTATCCGCAAGAACTTCCAGAACTTCCTCTCCTGCCGGGATCCCAAGAGTTCCTCCTACCGTCAAGGGAGTCCGTCGAGTAATTCCTAGAGTTTCTTCTCATCGAATTAGGCACTTGTAGGAGATTTTTGTTGTTGATGGCGGACATGGAGCGGTGCGAGAGAGAATCTTTGCGCAATGATCCCGATGAGCCTATCGGATCCTTTCTTAGAGTAGACGCGAAATGACTGGGATGTTCCATGTCTTTTTTGGGTGGATTGTGAGGAATCACCAGGGATCCGCGTCTTCGAAGAAAATTAAACGGATCAGATCTTTTGCTAAGGTGTTAAGTAGAAAGACCAGACCACAGACAATATAAATATAGTAAAAGCTGTTTAATAAATATCTGAACCAAAGTAACACATTCTTTTAAATAATACATTGTTAAAATTATTATTTTTATGTGATGAACCTGGCCAAAAATGGTAGATAAAAATCTGGGAATGTACTTTTTATGATCCCTATTATATGACAGATACGAAGACCTATAAACTATAAGTTCAAATTAAGAAAAATATGTTAAAACTAATGCAGCGTGTTTCTTTGGGAAAGTAAGATACGTTAATGCCCTGGGGGCACTAGGGGACACTTAGACGTTGCTAATCCGATACGTAATGTGTCTTAATTCATCAATAATAAAGTGAGGAACAAGTGTTTTGCTCATCAATCATCGTTAAACTAGAAATGAAAAACAAAAGAAAATCATAAATGGGAGAAAAAAATATGCAGTCATTACACAAAGATAATATGTATATTATACACTGCTAAAAAGACCGAAAAGATGAAAGAGAAACTGAAATTATTATTCGAACAATATCTGAATAGTCGAAAGAAAATGAAAAAAGTATTTTTGAAGTGTGTATATTTTAGGCAATTCCTAGCTGAGCGCTTTCGGCTTTACAAAGCCATCATCAGAGCTATGCTACAATAAAATGTTCTTATAAGTACTAATTGGTACTATAAATTATAATTTTTAACTTACGTCAATTTTTTAAATACCAATACAAAGGAGAGATCTCATTTCCTTAAATTTCAAAATTATGATTTTTTAGGTGTTGAAATTCTTAAAACATATAAAAAACATATAAAAAGCCGACACTGGACTTCACAAACACGTTAAAAAATTGAAAAAATTTTTGTCATGGTACGGGTGTAAGAACCCGACCATTGATTGATGTGAGGACGTAGACAGAATAGCACTAATGAAATCAAATGTCGGTCCTTTTAAACGATTTTTCAAAAGTGGACAGTTGACAAATGTCATATATAGGAAATAGAGATTGTTTTTTAAATTCTTACAAAATTATTTAGTAGTTTGGAATTACTAATAGTCATCAAAGACTTTCTAAAATTAAGTTTTTAAATTAAATTTTATGTGTTCATCACATCATACAGAATGACATTAGTTTGTAAATTCACTCAAGTCATTGTTCAGGTCAATGTATGTTCAATCTGACAGCCATCCTTAAGAAACAAGGGCTCAAATTGTTCAACAACAATATAAAGAAGAAACATGGTATTAATGTTACGTTATCTGATACTTAAGTGTATGAGAATTGTATCTCTTGATGGAAAATTGTAAGAAATTTGCATAAAAAATTTTTTTAAGAATGTATTTTCATGTTTCAATTAAGAATAACTGTCAAATGAATTACAAAATGTTGTAAATTTCTAATAAAGTTTAAAATTTGTTTAAAAATATGAAAGTATGAAAAATATATAATAAGATTGCATGAGGTCACCCTTCTTAGATCATAGATCTATAGATTATAGATCATTAGATCTTATACCATACTCCTATGGTACAGATATGTGGATGACATTTTAGCCTTTATAGAAGGCCCACGTCAGAACCTCACAATATTTTGTCAATAATTAATAATCTACATCCTGCAATTAATTTTACCTTAGAAGTAGAAAGCAACAACATTATCAACTTTTTAGACCTAACTATCAAAAAGATACTTCCTCCTCTTCTTCTTTGCCTACACTAGAATTTTCAATATTCAGAAAACCTACTCAAACTGACCATATGATACCAACATCATCAAATCACCCTTTTCAACACAAGATGGCAGCTATTCAATGTTATGTCCACAGACTTCTTAATATCCCTATGTCTCAAGAAAATTACAATAAAGAAATCTCCATCATTAAACAGATAGCAAACAACAATGGTTTTCCTTCTACTACTGTTGATAAAGTCATTAGAAAATCTATACTCAAAAAGAGACTAAAACCAAGCTTTTAATGTTGATAAAAAATCCAACACTACTTCCATATATAGATCCTTAACTTACTTAGGACCAATTTCAGAAAAAATTTCAAGAGTACTTGTTAATAAAATTAGTGACTTAAACATCTCTTTTAAAACCAAATATAACATCAAGTCCATCTTCAGCAAGACCAAAGACAAAGTTGACAAACTAAACAGAAGTGGTATTTACAAGCTGTCCTGTGGTGACTGTAATATGACTTATGTAGGTAGAACAATGAGAACTCTGAATCAAAGAATCAAAGAACACCTCAATAACCCAGAAAAATCAAACTTTGGATATCACATTAAATTTAATAATCATTCCTTTTCTCCTTCTGAAAACAGTAAAATTTTACACAACATTCCCAATAAAAACTTTAGACTCATGAATCTCTTGGAAGATCTAGAGATAACCAAAGAAATGAAACTAAACCCTGATTGTTGCTTAAACACACAAATCAACCTCAATTGCAACTATAAACCTCTTTTTAAATTATTATGGGAGACTTTAGAGGAAGAAGGGTGACCTCATGCAATCTTATTATATATTTTTCATACTTTTATATTTTTAAACAAATTTTAAACTTTATTAGAAATTTACAACATTTTGTAATTCATTTGACAGTTATTCTTAATTGAAACATGAAAATACATTCTTAAAAAAATTTTTTATGCAAATTTCTTACAATTTTCCATCAAGAGATACAATTCTCAATACACTTAAGTATCAGATAACGTAACATTAATACCATGTTTCTTCTTTATATTGTTGTTGAACAATTTGAGCCCTTGTTTCTTAAGGATGGCTGTCAGATTGAACATACATTGACCTTGAGCAATGACTTGAGTGAATTTACAAACTAATGTCATTCTGTATGATGTGATGAACACATAAAATTTAATTTAAAAACTTAAATTTTTAGAAAGTCTTTGATGACTATTAGTAATTCCAAACTACTAAATAATTTTGTAAGAATTTAAAAAACAATCTCTATTTCCTATATATGACATTTGTCAACTGTCACTTTTGAAAAATCGTTTAAAAGGACCGACATTTGATTTCATTAGTTCTATTCTGTCTACGTCCTCACATCAATCAATGGTCGGGTTCTTACACCCGTACCATGACAAAAATTTTTTCAATTTTTTAACGTGTTTGTGAAGTCCAGTGTCGGCTTTTTATATGTTTTTTATATGTTTTAAGAATTTCAACACCTAAAAAAATCATAATTTGAAATTTAAGGAAATGAGATCTCTCCTTTGTAGTGGTATTTAAAAAATTGACGTAAGTTAAAAATTATAATCATTACCAATTAGTACTTATAAGAACATTTTATTGTAGCATAGCTCTGATGATGGCTTTGTAAAGCCGAAAGCGCTCAGCTAGGAATTGCCTAAAATATACACACTTCAAAAATACTTTTTTGCATTTTCTTTCGACTTGTCATAAGTGTGTACAAAAAAATATCAGTCTTTTGATTGTAATATCTGAATAGAAGACGTAGTGGTAATTTTTTTAAGCCAGGCCAAGAGATAAGATAATAGCTTCGAAACATTGTTATTAGTACAAAACTAGGAATAATAAATACTTATAGGATATACATATGTAATGATAAAAAAGTAACATGAAAAATCTTCAAGAAAATAATTTTCTTAGATTCCACAAAAGAGTATCAAATAACTAAGTGTCAACAGCTGCATAATCAAATAGGAAGGAAAATAAGAGAAGCGAACCTGAGAGAGTGGTTTGGTTGCAGCTCAAGGCAATTGTTCAGAGCAGCTGCCTCGAAGGTCAGAATAGCCATGATGATTGCCAACTTTCGTCGTGGAGATGGCACTTAAAGAAGAAGATTCCACAGATGCAAAGACAAAGTATTAATTTTATCCAGAGTTTTATTATAACAGCAAATGTGGTCTGGTTACTATTTACATCTGGTCTTACCTGGAATATCCGTTGTTGTTCAAAGCAGGCATCGATTCTCTTCTCGGTCCAAGTCCAAAAAAGTCCGGCTCCGTCGTTCTGCTGATAACGTTTCCCAAGGAATCTCTTCGGTTGGTGATGTGTAACACACTTCCGAAGGAGTCTCTACGACCGTTTTTGCCGTGTACTTCACATTTCGCGTTGTGCTTCGAATCGACTTCGACGTGTATCTCCGGAACCGGCTTGGGAACCGGTTTCTGAACCGGTTCGAGTTTGGTTTCGGTGAAAAGCGCGTCGAGACGCTTGATAGCCGACGCGTGGTCGAGAACGGTGCTCATTTTTGATCTATAGGTAGTAGTAGTCAGCAATTAATAAAGGTTTTGAAAACCTTTTGTAACTGCTGTTAACAACGTTTTCATTTTAGAGAATCACAATAAATACGTTCAACAAATACTAGCATAAATTTTTAGTTGGTTTTTTATTGATTTATCAATACGCCCCTCCTAACTACACATACCTACCTAAAAAATCGGAAATAGACTATCAGAGCCAATAATCGTAACTAAAGGACTAAAACAAGTAGGTATGCAGTATATCACCCTTACTGAATTTATATATTGAGGCAACCCTCCAAAATCGGAAAAACCACTGACAGGGAATGGGAGTCCCTTAGGAAATGACATACTGTTCTCTCTGAACTTTTCGGATGACTAAGTCGTCCTAGCTCAAGATTCTTATGATCTAGAATTTATGATAAAACATCTATACAAAGAATATGTAAAATAGGGGTTACAAGTCAGCATGAAGAAAACAGAATATTTAGTTATCAATTCAGATGCAAGGTTTGAAGTGTTGATAGACGAGGACGTGGAAATCAAAATGGAGGTAGCATAAAAAAGTTTCAAAACCCCTCCTCAGACAAATTCTGGATGCGCCACTGTACAAAAGCAATGCATTAAGTTGGACATGCAGTATATTTCAATATCCCTTTTAAAAATCTTGCATTGGAATCCTCGTTTCTCAGAATTAAATGACTTTCTCAAATCGGTATTAAGATTCTGTGTCTGTAAGTATGACCTTATAGGTAAAATACAAAGAACTCACTGACATTGAGGTTCGTGGCTACCAGCAAGACGATGATTCATCTCTTCACTAGTAGGAGTAGGCGGTTTTATGTACAGTGTAATTTCTGTCATTGTTTATTTATTTGTTTAATTTATTAATTCCCAGATAATAGGGAGCGAAAGTCAGAAAATTTCATCAATTATTCATAATCATTTTTATGTTTTTGTGTGTCGACATGATGTATTTGTCATTGTTCTTATTGACTTAAACGGTCTGGAATGATGTAATGTTTCTTAGAAAACTGAAATATTATTTTAAAATATTACGGGGTCATTCCAGATTAGAAAAGGTCTTGAGAGTGGGAACTATATGAATTTTCACATATTGTTTTCACATATGCTACTAATGTGTTCGTTCCACTGATATTTCTCGGAACCTCTTTATACTGTGGCCAAACTATGTAAGGGTAATCAGATATAGACCAGGGTAATAAGGCATAAATGTAGCCTGTTGATGACAGTCAAAAAGCCTCGATACTATTGTATTATTAAAAACATAAGGCTTTAAAGGTTTATTGATGTAACCATCTTTTAAAACATGCAAAAAGCTTCAAAATGACGATTTAAAAAAATTATATACTTATTTGTTGTTTAAATAATTACTTTTTAGACCAAATACCGCACAACAGAAATAAATTCAACTGATTGGGGTTGAAAGTTATCTATGGATGAGTTACTCCCAGTGAGATCATTGGATCAACTCATTTCTGAGACTTTTTGAAATCAATAACTTGTTTTTGTAAAACGGGATGTCAAAGGTTAACTTGCAAGATGTAGAAAATTGGGGTTATATTGTACCAACTAGTACGCAGAATGCACGCAAGAAACTTGCGATAATTGGAACGTAATTAACGACATTGAAGATGATCCTGAAGGTGTAGATGGATCAATAAATGAATTAGATTTTAATATTGAAAACATGCCTTCGAAAAAAAAGGCGAATATAATAAAATTCTTTGAAATATTTCAGTTTGGTTGACTATTTTTGTGAAATTAAGTAACAATTGTGTTTTTATATATAAAAAATAAGGTATGAATACAATATCAAGCATGAATTTTTTTTTATCTGTAAACATTTATATATATTTAATATACAAATTGTAAAGACTACAATCGTCAATTTATATTTATAAAGTATTCAACTAGTGAATTCAGAGGTTTAATCGGTCATTAAGGTTGGCAAATAAAAAAAAAGAAGTCGACTACTTCATAAGTTTATCGAAGACGTTTCGCTTTATATTTCTAAAGCTTCATCAGTTCTAACTCAATATGTAGTATATTTCGATGTTATTATATATGTACTGCAAACTTTACTCATTGTTTAAAACTAACTTAACAAAAAACAAACAAAGAACACACAAACTCTGCAAAAAATAATGTTCATATTCGTAGATAGGAAGATTTAAAAATTTTTAAACGTACATTTTACTTCATTTAGAGATGGTTCTCCAATGAAGACAAACAAAACACTCAAACACAAAAAATAAAATATTTAATTTTTTTAATTGTAGAAAATCTTCTTCAAACTTATAATAAAATTCCTAGACCCAAACCAATTATGGTCCATATTGTCAATACATTCTCTATCGCTTACTATCTTCAACGGATCTGTCTAACAACGCAGTGAGACGCGGCTAGAAGTGTGAACTGACCTGTCGGACAGCATGTGTCCCCCACGGCTACATACATAGAAAACAATATATGCAAATGGAGGACAAGTTTGTCCCCCATGGCACTTTACGTGTTAATATTTATTTCAATGGGAATTCTTAAGTAATGCTCAAGATATCAATAGAATCTTGAGTTACGTTTGCTATTGTTAGCAAACATTAAAAGAACATATATTTAATTAGCGAAAAGATAATTATTGTAGTTAATTGCATATCCATTAAATGATTAAAAGTGTCAATCGCAATAAACTAAAATGACGCAACCAATAACATGTTTTTTTAGATTCCACAAAAAATCGCGTAGGTATCTTTATTAATACGAATATTTCTTAAACAAATAACATACTTTAGATCATAGATAAAAATAAATCAAAATGCAAATAGTAAGACGGATATTATTTAAAAAGAATTATTGATGGTAGATTTTAAATATATTATGATTCATCATTCCCTCTTTGCCTAAAGAATCGGCTTACTTACAGTAATATCAATCCCCTTTCCGACATGTCCTGCCTAAGCGTCTCCATCGAGGTCCTCTTCTTTCTTTCCTACTCTTGCACATCAGCAATTCTTCGTATTTATACAATTGGTTGCCAACCTATTGTTGACTTCCCTAACAGACTAATTCTTAATTTTATCCTTTTTTGTCACTTCAGCCATCGATCTAAGCGTTCTTATTTCTACCACATGAATTCATTGTTCCTCTTTCTTTTTAACTATCCAAAGTTCAGTTTGTTACATTATGTCTGGTCTTATGGCAGTTTAATAGATTTTTTTTTCAGTTTCATTGGAGTATTTCCATTAAAAAAAAACGCAACTCGCTTCCTTTCACCCCACCTATCTCGCGCCAAATCTGTTGCACATCCATCTAGTTCCCCATTACTCTGATATACCGATTCTAGTATCTGTTCTACTTCAATCTGTTACTTTTCTCAGTCATTTTACCATCTAAAGTTTTCATTTTATTTGTAATCGTAATTAACTCCATCTTCAAATGAACATTCCCAATACTGTTTTTGTCCTACTAAGTTTTAAAACTTTTTCCTTATTAACTTATCTACACTGTTCCAGTTTGTGTTCAACACTAATGAGAGTGCATAAGGACTGAACACTAACCTCTGATGCAATCCTACTTTTAGATAAAATTTGTCAATCTCTCTTACACCTGTCCTAATACGAGTTGTTGCTCCCTCATACATGTCTCTCACAATCTTCACATACTCAGCAAGAACCCTTTTTTTATATAAATCATGACTCCAAAATTTCTCGACATCACTCCACTTCGCTAAATAGCGTTTCTGAAAGCTTATGTAGCTTATGTATGAAATTATGTAACTAATGAGACCAGAAGAAATACTTTGCTAAAATTTGCGCCATTTCAGTGGACCATCGTTTTCCAAGGTGTGGAAACGCAACAAATTTGACGTTACCAATAAAAATTGTTTGAAAGGATTAATTATATTCGAGGTAAATAGAGGCTGAGTTCGTATTATCATTAATTTGGACACTACATGTTTTATATTACTGTGATAAGTGATCCACTTTATTGAATGCGATCACATTGAGTTCTCCAGAGCGAGCAGCTAAATACCAGAAGGCTATTAAGAAGGCTCAAAAACCAGCACCAGCAACTTTAATGCCTAATCAGTTTTTTCGTAATACTATATATCCAACTTTTTACACAAATTAGCTAAAGTTTTGTTTCCTGATCCGCCATTTTGACCTTCTAACCTCTTATTATTTGTAATCTGTGACGACAAAACCCATTCAAAATTTCACACGAATCCCTTCAACTTTTATTTTTATATCTGTAATTTTGAATTTTGTAATTCATCATCATCTAATTGATGTAACTGGTGTAATTTGTAACATCTTAATTGATAATCAGTGACGTCAAAACCCATTATATCCAAAATTTCACACAAATCCGTCAATTTTATATATTTTTTTCTGATATATTTGATTTGCCATTTTGAATAAACCTATCAAGACATACTTTTGTGGGTTTTTGTATTAATTTTAATGCCTATGTCCTGGTTTCAAAATTAGCTAACCCACTGTGCGTCTGAGAGTTTTTTGACTTGTATTGTGACAATGGACGTTTTGACGTCGTAGTCCTAAACTTATGTCTCGACAACATTGATAACGCGTTTCAAAAAGTTTTCATCATTCAAGAAGTGACAACTTAGTGTTGTTTCTGCTCCTTAATGAGCAACCTTAAATCTGAACTTGTTCTGAACTGAACATGTTCGGTCTTGTCTTATTTCGCTCTTTCAGTTTATTCTTGCACGCATAAAACATCGTTTAAAGCAAAAATTGACCCAATCACGATACGTGTCGTTTAAATTCGCCTAACCAAATATCGAAAAACTGCCAAACACACAAAATGGTTATACAAAAACAGATGTAATATCAAAAAATGGGTTGAATCACGCTAAAAATGCTACCAAATCCAACCAAAATTCAAATCTACACCTTTGGACACTAAGACACTCTTAGAACATTGCCAGATAACAAAATATTTAGGCGCAATCCTGAACCGAACCCTTAC